TCCTCATTTATCGTAAATCATCAGAGATGTGTATTATTCTTGTAATCATATTCACGAAAATGAATAAAGAGAACTCACTTATCCCTACAGACTCTATATATACCCTATTCCTATGCTTTTTGATGAGGCATAAAGTGATTCAATTAGTACAAGTCATAGGTCAGTCTACATCACTTTTTAATATTTTGAAATATAAACAGCATGCAAGGATGGGACAACTAGTTCAGTTGACTCAGTTTTGTGTGGATTTGTGATTAGATTGAGTTCCAGCTTTGGTGTTTTCTGTCAACTGCCCCGGCGGAGAAATACGAAGTGCTTGAGGCGACTTAAAGACTGATAGTTGAGTTTATATCTCAACGAGATGAGTAAGCCTCCCGATACCATTGAATTTCACTCACAAATACCTTCTCAAAGGTGATTGCAGTTTCGAACTCATATCACTACCCTCATTAGCACTCCGACGGGATTCGAACCCGCTTCGTGAATATGGTCGATAAATTGCCACGCAACTAGACGGCCATTGGTGCCAGTGAATCACAGGTAAGATGCAGCATTTAAGGCAAGCCGGGCCTCTTCCAGCTCATACTTTATGGCAGGATTGCAATCGGCAATACTACTTAATTACCATATGAGTAGCTTCCAAAGATATAATAAATTCTTAAATAAGAACTAGATCACCCTAGGTTACTTAAGATGATGTGAAGACTGATAATTAGGTATTCCTAAAATGATTGCAATGGCAAACACATGCGTGTTTAATTGACAATCTTACTATAGAAAGTGAGCTTGGGGAGGTCTGGCTTGCCTTGAATGCTGTATTTGCCCCGTAACCCACTGACGCTCTAGCTGTCTAGTGGAGTAGTAAAGTCTCCACGATACTTACGACCCGAGTTAGAATTCCGTTGGAAGGGGCTCGTAGGGCCTAGGCGACGTCAAAGCTGCCGTCCACCCTGGCCAAAATAAGTTTTTGGGAGGCAAGGCTAAGTGAAATGTAATGGTACCTTGGGGCCCGCATAGGTGATATAGGGAAAAACCAATCCTTAACTCGCCATATGAGACCTAGAGTGGCTAAATTCCTTTTATTTACTTAAATTAAAAAAATTGTTTTTACTGTTGTGAACATATATAACCTATAAGAAATAGCTGTTTATTCTGCATGAATTTATTTTTAATTCGCACGAAAGTACATGACGAAGGACGATCCCACCAGAAGGCCGAAGACTGAGTCCTGCATACAGACACACACAGACACACACACATATGAGCTCAAGTATGAATTCACTTATTAATACAACAGAGTACCAGCCAAATCATTCTATTTCTATCTATATCTATATATTTTTGTTTTATGGTCATTAGTGTATTTATATGAGCGGTATTCACCTTATTACATTTAAGGTGATGGAGGACTGGTATTTGAAATTCCCCACAATCATACGAATAGGCCTCATGTTTCCATTGCGCTTAAAATATCCTCGTTTCCTATGGCACTTCAGTTTCGACCTCTCGCCAACTCGTCTCATCAGCATCCCCAGCGGGGCTCGAATCCGGATTGTGGTAGTGTGGCACATATTTTTGATACATTGAACACTATGTTGCACAGCCACAAATGCCCTTGGGCCGCGTGGGAGAAATTAATTTGAAGAAAGCCTACCACGAAGCGGGTTCGAGTCCCACTGATGAGAATAGTCTAGGCGAGGCCGAAACTACAGACCAGTCTAACCTGGATTATAATACCTTTTGGAAAGCATTACAACGTGAAGTTCAATGGAAGCAGGAGGCCTACTCATATGGTAGTGGGAAAATTCGATTAAAATAGGTTAAATATTTCTTATATAAGATCTTGTTTTATTCTTTAAAACCCACTTAGTAACGGAAAGTGAGTATATATAGTTTGTACGATAGAGTCGGGTAGTCTTCTAGACTTAGTATTAACTTAGAGCCTTTTCAAGATTTTGTTTCAACCTTGATGGTGTCAATCAATTGGCGTGATGGACGAAAGCTCAGCCCATTTTCATCCGAAACGAAAGAGGATGTTCGAATAGCTACATTAACATGAACTTCGCATACAAGTCGAGGGAACGTAGAACAACGGTAATCAGTCAGCGTCTTCTGTGAAGATCGACCTACAAATTAACTCACTCCCCAACATTATTCTACTTGACTCAGTGATAGCTTGAAGTTTCAACAGAAATGTGAAAACATGTAAATAAGTACGTCTAATTATTAAAAAGCTTGGCTCGTCTTCACTTGAACCGAGGTAGGAAGTCTAATTAACAGAGCTTCAGATTAAGCGGAATTTGCCGTCATTTTCCGATGAGGGTAACCAACTCATCTGTTTCTCACCCAATTTTGCATCAAATCAGGCTGTATTTGGGGCCTCTTTTTTGTTAAAACTGACGATTTAAAACACCGTCTGCTTCAGAGTAGCAACTACGGCTTTAGTATGTGCAATCTAGAGCAACACTTAGCAATAGAATTTTCCGTTTATAATAGAGAGGTTTTACTTAAATAAATCCAATTACGTGATATGACTGAGGATAGTCGTTTCAAATCCAGTGAAAAGGGAAAACTCACACTTTTTAAAGTTGGAAAATAGACGACTGTCGAACACCAAACCGTCACTGTCCTCCGAATCCACGTTTTTTCCCCTCGCCTGATTTGTCCTTTCTTTGCATCTACCTAACTTGGCTGTTGAGTTCGAGTCCAGGCCTGCCACGTCCGGAGAAACCGCTCCGTTGCCCTCCCCCTCCTGGTACTCCCACCCAGCGCCCCCGTCTTGGGGGCTCACCATCTCGTCCGTTTGCCACACTAGCGCCCTTTTCTCACCACCTTTCGCCGGTCTATGCCGTATTCCATGCATGTTTACATCTGCCTCCATTTTGCTGGAACAGGATTCCTCCTTTTTGGCAGCCTCCAGGCCACTTTTGCTGGGCTCTTCAGGCGTTTGGTCCTCTTCTGTTCTCTTCCATTTCAGGTTTCTCTTGTCCTTGTACACCTCAACCTTTGTCCCCGAGGCCACTGCTGTCCTCAAGGCTCCCATGTGATCCCGATCCCCCTCGTCCTGACACTGCTCATCCGACTTTGTTGCCGCCTGTCCTCTTTTGTCTGAGTGAAGCTGAGTCGTCCGCTGGCCCTGCCTTAGAGACGGCCATTTGGCGCTTGGTTGCCAGTGGCAGTACACAAAATCGGCCGTGCCAACTAATTCGGCCAACTGCGATATCTGCTCGTGGCCAAGCACGGCCAGAAGACCGCTAGACTTATCGACAATCCGCGGTACGGTCGTTGTCGGCCTAGGCCGCTTGAAAGAGGCCGGTCTACTCGAGGCGCTCGACTCATTGTATGGAAGATGGACTCGGATGCGCAGTCCGAAGACCCTTGCTCTCTGGGCAAGAGCTAAGCTGACGTGGTCTTCATGAAGCAAGTAAAAGATGGAGGGCATGGTAGAAAATAAAGAATTTGCTAGACGAATAGAAAAAAAAACAACTAAAATTAGTGTAAAAAATAAAAAAATGCACAATAGGAAAATCGAAAAATAAATAGAA